AGGCCACCAAAAGCTTTGAAGGGCGAGGAGGATGGGGCAGAGCCTGAGCAGTGGCAGGCAGGACTCACCTTGGCCTCATAGATGAGCAGCACCATGTGGGTGAGGGTGTACAGGGTCATGTAGACAGACAACTTCACCGAGCCCGAGTGACTGATGCGGCCCCTGGCGGCAGGCCGTGAGGGGGGACAGCAGGGGTGGGGGCCGTCAAGAGAGGAGGGGGCAGCCACCCCCCCACCCCAATCTCTGCCCTGCTCCCTAGCCCAGCCACCACCCCCCCGACAGTGGTCCCTCCCGCCCCAGCCTGGGCACCGTGTCACCGTGAATCCCTTCCCCAGAAGGATGAGCATCAGCAGGAAGATGAGGAAGCTGGAGGAGAAGAGCAGCTTGGCTGGTAGGAGGGAGGAGAGGGCAGCTCAGACACAGGGCTCAAATTGCAGAGGAGCCCCGGCACCCTCCCGGGTCCACTTCATTCTCACCCAAGATCTTCAGACTCTCATTGCTAATGCCATCAGTGGCATATTGGCCCCAGTAGATGCAGAAGAACAGGAGGCTCAGGACTGAGGGGAGGATGGGCAGAGAGAGGAAAGGACAGAAAGCAGCTTTAGGGCATCACTGTTCCCTAACACTATGATCCAGATGACCAAAACCCTTTCTTCACCCCCATCAGGATTCTAGACCCTTTATTCTCACTGACCTCCTAGGAAACTCTGGAGGCCAGGCCCCAGACCCCTCCTCCCTCTGACCCAGGAGTCCAGGCCCCCAGCCCCTCCTCTCCCAGGGCCCAGGAGTCCAGGTCCCCAGCCCCTCCTTGCTTAGGCCCAGGTATGTGAGTCCTAAGGCCCTCCTCCCACAGAACTCAAATAGCAATACTCTAAAGCTCACCCTCCACTCCTGCTGCAGCCATGAACATCTTATAAGTCGTGTGGAGCAACTGACGACCTTTCAGCAAATCTGGAAGGAGGGTAGGGGAAGGCTGTACACAGCAGGAAGGGAGAGCAGCTCATCTCCTCCAACCTGGTTTCCCCTCCCCCATCTCTCCCCCACACCCCATGTGCTGGACTCACATCCAAAGTAACAGGAGAGGAAGAAGATGAGGATGAAGACGAGAAGGAAAGTCACATCTGTCTCCAGGATCCCTGCCAGTTTGGTGGAAGGAGGAAACCATGCAGTCAGGATGGGTGTCCCTCAACAGGCTCCCAGCTCTGGGCTCCCACAAAAGATCCTGGATCCCCATATGCTCACCAAACTCATCAGCAGAGAAATGCCGTGTCCAGAAGGACTTGCCATTGGTGAGGACCATCTCATACTCCAGCTGCAGCCCATCTCCCTGTGGGGAGTGTGGAGGCCTAAGGGGGGCCCTGGGCAGGGAGGGGGTCGGCAGGAAGGCAAGGAGGAGAAGGCAGGCCCCAGTGGCCGGCCCAGCCCCTTACCCCACACTTGCTGAGTGCAATGTACCACCACCTTTCACGCACTGAGCGGAAGCTGCGGCCGCTAGAGCAGCTCAGGTAGCGTATTCCCTCCTCTGACACCACCTGGGGAGGAGCAAGAAGGCTGAAGCCTGCCTGTGCCTCTCCCTGGCCCTTGACCTCCAGCACCTGCCCATTCTCCCAGACTGGGCCCATACCTGACAGCCTGACCAGGCATACTGGGTGGTGAGGTTGATGACCTGGTTGTTCTCTGGCCTGATCACTGACTCCTTGGCCAGGCAGTCCTAGGGGAGGCAGGGCCATGGTCACCCCTTGGCTAGCTTCGACCTTATCCCTCCTCCCCTACACCCTCCTCACAGACTTCACCTTGTCCCCTGCCTTGTACACGGCTGGCCACTGGGATGGGTCGTCGAAATAGAGGAGGATGTTCTGACAGCACTTGGCCTGCAGACCCAAAGATTTGGGGGGTTGGGGGAGCATAGGGAGCTGGGGTAACCCTTGCCTTGGGAAGCCAAGGGAGCATCCAGCCTTAGCATGGTGAGTGCTTGGGGAAGGCTCACCTCAGGGTATCGGAAACGGAAGTCCAGTCGGCCGTAATCCGAGAGGAAGCAAAATCTCGTCAGGAACACCCAGTCCTGGAAAAGGGGCCCACTCAGACCCTCTTCTGAGTCCCTTGAGAACTCTCGACTCCACAGACACCCCCCAACTTTTCTTCCCTACCCTGGAATACCTGGTTTCCCAAGAAGCATAAGGGGACCAAGTCACCTCCAAAATTCTTCTGTGATCCTTTCACCTTGGTTCCAGGATTCCTCCTTCAGATGCCCCCACCCCCAAATTTCTTCGCCTCCTTTCAAACACTTCTCCCATTTGCCAGGTGCCTGAGAAAGACCCTGGAGGGCCAGATCCCCATCCTGGACACCTTGCATCAGGGATACCGTCCCACTGGCTTTCCTCTAATTATCCACACACGCCCTCACGGTGGTCTCAGAGACCATCAGGTGCTGGGGAGTATTCCAAACGGCCCTCTCCTGGTCCTGAACAGGAGTGTGAACTCGGGCTCAATGCGCAGTGAAAAGTGCTGTCCCTTCAGCACCACCTCGGCGTCCCCCACCCCCACCCCCACCCCAAACTCCGACTCTCCCAACCCGGCCCCCCTCCTCGCCCAACTCTGACCTCAATGTCCCTCCTACAATCTCCGAGTCTCCTCTCGACCCAATGGCCCCCCCTCAGCCTCAACCCAGACCCAGCCCCGCACTGTGCCTGCCCACCTCCCACCCCACCCCCCGCGCAGCACTGAGAGACCGCCCGGGAGAGGCGGCAGGGGGCGGGGCGGGACCTGCCCCCTCCCTTCCCTCTTGTCCCTCGGGGGCCCGGCGGGTGGCAGGGGAGGGCCCGGCGCGCTCACCTCCTTGGAGCTGAGGTTGCCCCTCACATACTTGGCCCGGGCGCGGGGGGGCAGTGGCGGCAGCAGCAGGAGTAGCAGCGGCGGCAGCAGCAGGCGGCGCAGAGCGGGCGCGCGCGGGGGCTCCATTCCACCCGCTCCGGCCCCAGCTCGGGCTCCGCTCCGGCTCCCACTCCGGCCCGGCGACGGCGGCGAGAGCGCGCGGGCCGGCTGGCGCGCGCCCCCGATTAAAGGGGCCGCCGGGAGCCGCGTTCCCTGCCCCCTCCTCCAGGATGACCCGGCCTGGACCCTTCCCAATCCCCGTGGGAGGGGACGCCCCTTTCCCGTCCTCTCCACGCCTCCGCAGCCTCAGTCCTCCCCTCTGGGAATCTCCTTGGTACCTCCAGCTCCCCGTATCCTAAAGTGAACTCACATTCCCCCAAGCCAAGTATCCCCCTCCAGACTGCCATCTCAGGATGGCCCACAACCCCCAGGCCCCAGCTCTGTCCTGACCTCCCCCCAGTTTAGTCCCCAAACTGCTCTTTGACTGCCCATCCCCGCCCCCATAACAGCCATCACCATCTGTGACCATCACAAATTCCACGCACTCTGTGAAGTGCCTACAGAGACACAGAGGCACAGAGCAGGCAAACCACTTGTTCTGGGTCACACAGCTCCGAGGTGGCAGAGAGCCTTCAGCCACAACCACTACACCCTGCTGCCTGACCCTGCCCTGTCACTGCTTACCAGGGTCTGAAACCAGCTGCTGTGAGGCAGAAGAGGTGGTATTGTGAGAAACCCACAAGCAAACTCTGAAATCAATTTCTTGGGCTCAAATCCCAGCATTGCCACTTCCTTCCCATAAAACCTCAGCCAAGTCACAGCTGTGTGACCTCCCAGTCCAGTCCCCTACACCCTGGTACTGACTTTATGGTTTCCCTGTGGGCAATGGGGAGCCCTGGAAAAGCTTTACAGAGTACAGTCCAAGCCCCTCAGCTTCATTTTCCTGATCAGATTCCAACACGTTTCCAGCTTCATCCCTCCCCCTCCACTGCAGAAAATCTGCTGCTCCTCAAAATATCATTTTAAAAAACTTTCTAAGTCAGGAGGCCAAGCAGGAAACGTAAATGTGTGAAATCCTTTCAAAGGAGAGTGTGGACCCCACAAAAAAGGAGCCTCTGCTACTTGGCTTCAGCCAGTTGTTAACAGGAGGGATAGTAGGTCTGCTGCCAGGTTTCTTTCCTTCCTCCTTCCCTCCCTCTCCTCGCCTCTCTCCCTCCGTCCCTCCTTCCCTCCTTCCTTCCTTCTCTCCTTCCTTTCTCCTTCCTTTCTTTCTCTTTCCTTTCTTTCTTTTTTTATTTTGAGAGAGAAGCCAGAATTTTTTTTTTATTCAAATCAAGCACACTGGTTTGTAACAGTACATAACTGATTCTAAAATGTTAAATATACTGTAGCCCAAAGAGAAAAGTCTGTCACCATATCCAGGCCTCATGTGCCATTCCTGCCCGGATCCTGCACACACACTGTTCCTGTGCCCACCAGACCAGAAGCCTCTCATAGGCAGAGCCCAGACGTGACTCACTCTAGATCCCAGCATGGCCTAGGGATATAGGGTGAATGAAAATGGTCCCACATCCCCTATTTGCCCTCCACCAGGCCTTGCACATGCTGTTCCACAGAAGAGCATTTCTAGATTGCCTGAAATATTCTTTTCCTTCTCTACTAGCAAGTTTCTACCAAACTTAAAAAATACAAGGGTCTTATGTCAACTCCCTCATCAGCAGGGCAGAGTCATGACTCCCTCCTTGGACTCCCTCAGCCCCTGCACCTCTCTCTCTCCCAGATGCAACCACTAGGGCTGAAACTGTCTGTGTTCACCACTGTAGTGGGAGTCCCCTGGGGACACAGCCTCAGTCTTACTCACTCTGGAGCCCCAGCATTATCAGAGCTCAGAGTTGAACACATAATTGGCCTCAGTGGGTGGATGTGTTAGACTGACTGAAGGCCCCTGGGCCTTAGGAAGGCGACAAGTGACAGTACCTTCCTCTCCACCCTGGACCCAGAACTCAGAGCTAGGAAAAGCTGCTCTCCTGGGCCAGCCACTCACTAAAAACCAAGCGGATCATGAGGAAGGTACTTTATTGAAGTGATCAGAGTATGGGATTCCTTCCCCCAACCCAGCCTCAGCCTGCTCAGTACAGCCTCATGGGTGGAAAGCACCAGGCCTCTGGGCTGCTCCGGGCCACCACCCAGGAGAGGCTGGGCAGTGGGGCAGGGGGGCTGGGGCTCCAGTCCAGGGCAGAGGTTCGGGACAACAAGGGTGATGGTGGCTGAGGCAGGGGTTGTGGTGGGCCAATCCCCCAGGGCCGGGGAGGGGGAGGTGTGTCTACCAGCCAGATGCTTTTCAGCAGATCAAAGGCTGTTGGGGGGCCGCAGGCCGCCCCAGATGGCGAAGGCAACGAGGACAATGGGGGTGGCCAGGGACCTTCAGGTGGTGCCAGGTTCACCGGGTACACAGTAGGAGTGCCGGAGGTGTGAGGCACGGCGAAGGTGAGCTCCTTTGTCCCCTCTCGCCTCCTCTGCCTCCCTTCCCCTGGGGCCTCCTCGGGGCTGTTGATCCAGGAGGATGTCATCCTTTGTCTCTCAGGGCCCCTAGGCTTGGTCCCTGGCACAGAGGAAAGAAGCATGGGGCACAGCTGAGACAGAGCAGACAAAAGAAAAGGAAGCTCAGGGGGCAGGAGGTGAGCTCACCTGGCAAGTGTGGCTGGCAGCCCCGGAGCACCAGAGTAAGGTCAGGCACACAGCCATGGCAGGCCTGTAAGGTGCCCACGATGGCATCCCTGGCCTCTTGTGCTAGGTTCCTCCTCGGGAAGGCCTGTGGCAGAATCAGCTGGCATTTCAGCTCCCCCAGCAGCTGCCCCAAGCCAGGGAGCTGGGGGGGACTGGGTGGGCCTGGGCCCGAGGCTCCTGGCACTTGGTTTTCCTTGCCCCTTGACGGTGGGGCTGGTTCTTGGGCCCTGCCTGGGCTTGGGGAGGACTTGGTGGGGAGTGCAGGGGTGCCTGACTCTAGGGACCCACTGCTAAGCAGCCGTGCCACGTCCAGAGATTTCACCTCGTGGCTGAAGAGGCCCCGGTGCTCCCGGCTCAGGCGCCCCTGGGTTATGACCACGAGCTTGGGGGCAGCAGGTGCCACAGAATTCCGGAGAACCACATGTGGATCCCGACTGGCCACGGCAGGATCCTGATGGGCCAATGACCGGCGACTGCCCACCAGGGCCTCATTACGCTCCCGCCTGGTCTTCCGACGGCGGACACGACCAGGTTTCTCAGGCTGCTGGAAAGTCTTGAGGGCTGGCCCCCTGGGGTCCATGGTGCCCTGGAAGATAAAAGACAGGGTGGTTGGGCTTCCCTGGTGGCGCAGTGGTTAAGAATCCGCCTGCCAATGCAGGGGACACGGGTTCGAGCCCTGGTGCGGGAAGATCCCACATGCCGTGGAGCAACTAAGCCCGTGTGCCACAACTACTGAAGCCCGCGCACCTAGAGCCCGTGCTCCACAAGGAGAGAAGCCACCGCAATGAGAAGCCTGTGCACCGTAACCAAGAGTAGCCCCCGCTCGCCACAACTAGAGAAAGCCCGCACGTAGCAAAGAAGACCCAACGCAGACAAAAATAAATAAATAAAATCAATTTAAAAAAAAAAAAAAAAAAGACAGGGTGGTCATCAGCATACAGATAACTCAAAGACCTAGAAGTGAGTAGTGAGAAGAGATGGTTTGGGGTGAGCTGGGAGTACTATTTAGAGACACAAGATGAGACAAAGGGATTGGTAGAGAGCAACTGGAAAAGGCTTGGTCAGGGTAAGGTCAGAAAAGAAGGCAGGGTCATAGGAGTAGGATGAGGTCAAGGGAGTCATGCTGAACGGGAAGATTTATCAGGGGATAGAGAAAGGGTTAGAGAGAACAGGGATATGAAGAAATAGCTAAAAAATGGGGGATGGGAAAGGGATCATGATATCGGCGGGATCTGGTGAACCAGAAAGGGACTTTGGACAGACGAGAAATCCAGGGGTAAAGGAGGTACTGGAGAATGTAGAAAGTGGAGAGAGATGGTAGAGAGAGAAAAGCAGGAAAGAAAATGGAAGTTGGAGAAACAGAGAATAACTCGGGAGGGCAGAAAGGGCAACAGAGGAGCTATCAGGGACAGGGGCCTGGTCATAGAAGGGGGTAGGAAACAAGGCTGCGTGGGGCAGATGAGGTAGGGAAGGGAGTACGGTTGGTGGGGGCAGGGAAGGGGAAGGGCCCCTCACCTTCTCCTGTCCCCAACGAACCCCGCCCCCCTACCCGCCCACTCCACGTGGCTGTGGGGTACAATGGCTTATTTTCGGCGGTGACCCTAGCTCTCAACGTGCCTGATACTCTTCCGGGTCTCACACCGGGCCTCGTGCAAGCACGCATGCGCGTGCCCCTCGCACGCCCTTTGGCTCCCCACCCCCACCCCAAGAGGCACAGGCCCAGGGGCACGTGCCAGGGGCCCAGAGTGCAGGTTATAGCCCCGCCCCTCCCGACCTCACTCACATTCGGAAACCTCTTTCATTTGTCCTTAGGCACCTCCTATCCACCAATTGGCTGTGAGGTCCACTAGGCCCGCCCCCTTCCTCAATGCTGATTGGTTTAGACATCTATCGCGGACTTTCCCTCTGGAGCTCGGAGATGTAGGCGAAGCCAAGGGGGAGAAGGGCTACGGTAGCCCTACACACAGCCAGTCTCCAAGCAGTCACAGGCTTTATCCCTAGAGAGTCAGTATAGTGTCGTCATTTAGAACTAGGCTCCAGACCCACACTACCTAGGTTCAAATGCCCAGGCACATTTGAGCTCTGTGACCTCGGAAAAGTATGTAACTGCTCAGAGCTTCAGTTTCCTAATCTGTAAAATGGAGTTGGTATCTTCTCCTTCTTATAACTGCTGTAAGTATGAAATGAGCCAACATACAATTTGAAAACAGCGCTTGGTGAATGGATGCCTGTAAATTTTGTTTCTTACTACACTTGTCCCCTCAGACTTTTTTTTTTTTTTTTTTTTGGCCGCGTGGCTTGCGGGATCTCAGTTTCCTGACCAGGGATTGGACCCCGGCCCACAGCAGTGAAAGCCCAGAATCCTAACCACTAGGCCACCAAAATCAAGGTATGCCGGGGTATTCCCCATACCCTAATAAGCTATATTCTGTATTACCTGGTAATGTTGCTTGCCCAACCTTCACTATCTTTCAAAGCCGAACTCCTTAGATACTACTCCTTCTAGGAAATCCCTCACCCTGAGTCCTTCTCTTTCTTCTCCCACAGAGGTCCCCTGTGCATTCCTTAATCACAACCTTGATCGCTCCCTCAGCTTTGTGTCTGGATCTGCCTCCCCCAACACGCTGGGACAAGGCCAGGATCTGACCCATTCCTTTAATACTCATTCAGCAAGTACGTGTGAACAGCCATAGATAGTACTTCGTATTAATACTGTGAGTCAGGCCCTGTTCCAGGCAAGTGGATTGAGGCAAAACACAAACACAATAAATAAGATTCATCTCTGTATCTCAGTGTCAACCTACCTAGAAGGAATGAATAGATAGGAAGATCCCATCTGGGAGTGGAGCTACAGGAATATGAGCAGGACTTTGAGGGTGGTGTGGGACCCCCACCTGGTCCCCCAGAACAGGGAGATCTGGGAAGACTTGAGGACTGAGATTAATTTGGGGCAGGAGGTGGGGGGCAGCGACCTTAGGTGGCCTTGGCTGTGGATGTAGGTTTTGGAGCTCAGACACACCCAACTGAAGTTGTTGGTCAGCCATACGTTTAGGGAGGGGAGCAGAGGCCACAGATCTGTAAGATGAGCTGCGCGGGAGGGGCTCCAGGCTGGACTTGGGCCTTGCAGCATCTCTAATTTCCTTTATCTTTCTGCATCTTCTACTACCCTCTTTGCAGGGTAATGTCTGTAATGCAAAGACATATAGTTTAGAAATTATGCCACAAAAACTGGCATAATTTGAGCAGGGGAGGCCCATGAGCAGATAGGCTCACTAAAGTCCTGGCACTGCCTTGGCGTGAGTGTCTCCTTACAGCTGAGCCTCTAATTTTCACATTTCCATCCTCCTTTTCTCTCCCCCACGTCAGAAGAAAATGGGAGCGTCCCTTCCTTGCCAGGTGCGTTTGAGCCACCCCCTCAAAGATCCAAGCATGGACTCGTCCACTCACTCCCCTACCACCACGTGAATCAGACACACAGACACACACCCCCACACGCACAGTAGGTGGTTCCTTCCCCACATTTCTCGCCCTACAGCAAATGGTTTCTTCCCACGAGGAAGGGCGCTAGATTTTCCCCACTCTGCTTTCACGGTAGGGTGGTTTCTCCCTCCTCCCCTCCACGGGTACTGGATGGTCTCGCCTCCCCCCACGCCCCGTGCCGCCGCCGCTGCCGGAGAGTGAGCGGCCCGGGCAGGAAGCGCCGGACGAGCCCACTGCGCGGCCGCCGTGGGGGAAGCAAGGCCAATTCCTCTAAGTGAAGGTTTTCGCCCCGGAGAGGAGGCGGCGCCCGGGATCGGCCGCGCCCTCCGCTAGAGTGCGGGCTTCGGGACAGTCCATTGTTGCTGAGGGGTAGGGGTGGGCGTGGCGGCGCCGCCTCCTCCAGGAACACTCCCCGGCTGACCGCGCTTGCTTGTCCTGCTGGAGCCGCGGCGCCAAGATGAGCGGAGAAGAGAACCCAGCCAGCAAGCCCACGCCGGTGCAGGACGTGCAGGGCGACGGGCGCTGGATGTCCCTGGTGAGCGACCCCGTCCGCGATACTCTGGAGTCCGGGGCTGGGGGCGGGGGGTGGGGGGGAAGGCTCTGAGAGAGTAGCTGGTTTGCGCCGCTCTCATTACGAGATTGGGAAACTGAGGGCAGTTGGCGTGGTGCCGCCTAAGAAAGCGGGGCGGGGCGGGCCCAGCAGCGTGCGTGCCATTGACTCCCCCTTTACGTCCCCAAAGCACCATCGGTTCGTAGCCGACAGCAAAGATAAAGAACCCGAAGTCGTCTTCATCGGGGACTCCTTAGTCCAGCTAATGCACCAGTGCGAGGTGAGGCCCGTCCCTCTCTTCCTGCCCCACCCGGGCCTGTGCCCTCACTGACAGACCTGGACCAGAGCCCAGACCAGGCGGTGTATGGGGTACCCGAAATAGCCTCAGGTAACGCCGGGCACCCAGAATCTCAGTATAATGTGCCACATTCTACTGAGAAGGAAGTGTGTGTCCTGGCTTTGTCGTACTGGGTCTGTGTATAGTGAGACTTAAAATGAGGCTTCGTGCAAGACTGCCTAGGATGAGGCTCTTTGTTTGCTTAAACTAGTGCCCAGCCCTAATGGATTTCCACAGAGCTATAGTTATTTCCACAAAGTGAAGGTCAACGGTAATAGGTCTCTACTAAGGGGGCTCAATTATGATATCTTTCCATTAAGCGACGTTAAACCATGGCTTTCCTCAAAGTGAGGTTCAAGTGGAATGCTGCTGGTTCGATGCCTGGCTCAAGTAGAATAGGCTTCCGTGAAGGGAGTCCTGCTTCCATGGGGTTTTGTGGAAGTGAGACTATAATGGGTTTGCGTAAAGTGAGGTTTGACCATATTGGGGTTTGCTCGAGGTGAGATTTAACCAGACTGCTTCCGTAAAGCAAGGCTCTTCCATGATGACATTTGGTTAACCTTTGGATAGAGAGTGGTGGTCCCTGCTGACAGTGCCCCTGTGCCCACACCACTTCTTGCCCACAGATCTGGCGGGAGCTCTTTTCCCCTCTTCATGCACTTAACTTTGGCATTGGCGGTGACAACACGCAGCACGTGCTGTGGCGTCTGGAGAACGGGGAGCTGGAACACATCCGGCCCAAGGTGAGCAGGGCTTGGGTGGGCAGCTAGAGCACCCTTAGCCTGCCCCCTCACCACTGCTTCATGCCTCTCTTTCCACAGATTGTGGTGGTCTGGGTGGGTACCAATAACCACGGGCACACCGCAGAGCAGGTGGCTGGAGGCATCAAGGCCATCGTGCAACTGGTGAACCAGCGGCAGCCCCAGGCCCGGGTCGTGGTGCTGGTGAGAGAGTGGGAGGGTGGGAAAGGAAGAACGGCAGTGTTCTGGGACCCCTTCACATGTAGCCACAGCTGCACGGTTCTGGGCAGCTTAGCACAGAGCAGTGGTTGAAGGCAGAATCTCATGTTGAAGCTTGCTACGCCCATCAGAGGGGCTGTGGTTAAGGACATGTTCAGGGACCAGTTAGCCCCTTTTGCCCAAGAGACTGCTAGAGATTCTCGGGGTGTTGAGAAATTCAAGACACTTAAATAGCCAAAAGTTATCAGGCATTCCCAGGGTTAATCTTGCCTCCATCACTTCTAGAAGGTCTCACTTCTAGAATAAGGTCTCAGACCATCATCTTTCCATCCCTAGTGCATTCTGCAGCTGGGGACTTACTGGTGGGGGGTGGGGGACAGTTTGGCACAGGGAACAGGATACCCAGAGGCTGGTAGGATGCCTCCTCACAACTCTTCCTGCCTTCCTCAGGGCCTGCTTCCTCGGGGCCAGCACCCCAACCCACTTCGCGAGAAAAACGGACAGGTGAATGAGCTGGTACGGGCAGCACTGGCTGGCCACCCACGGGCGCACTTCCTGGATGCAGACCCTGGCTTTGTGCACTCAGATGGTACCATAAGCCACCATGACATGTATGATTACCTGCATCTCAGCCGGCTGGGGTACACACCTGTTTGCCGGACCCTGCACTCCCTGCTTCTGCGTCTGCTCGCCCAAGACCAGGGACAGGGTGGTGCTCCCCTGCCAGAACCCACACCCTAAGCATCTACCTTCCTGCAACATTAAATTTTCATTCTTCAGTCTCCCATTCTCTGCTTTATGGCCAAGCCCGTCGGGTACCTGAATCTCAACTCCAATGTCTGTGACCCTGCATCTCTGCCCAAGGCAGGCCGCACCAATCCATCAAGATACTCTGGCTCTTGTAGAGTCAGACAGATTTCTGTCATCACAGTGGTGCTCCAGGCAGGCATGACCAATCAGTACAACACGAAGTGAAACTGTTTTGCTACCATGGCCCTATAGGATCACGGTCAAGCAAGAATTCTGGGTGACCCAACAGTCAAAGCCCACTCAAAGCTGCCCTCCAATCTGCACATGCTCTTCCCCCTGACTGGAACTTCTGGTGCTCTGGTCCTAGCTTAAGTGTGACTTCCTGTGGAAGCTTCCTGACCTTCCCACCCCTAGCAGTCATCCCTCCACACAGCGTATGGGTATTTTTCTCTCCAGAGAAGCACTGTCCACAGGCTGTGACAGAGGCGTAAACCAGGAGAGGTTCCTTCTGGCCTGGCTGCAGTGCTGGTTCAGGCCACACAAGGGCAGCAGGGGTCACTGGGGACATCGTGGTACTCTGGGCTGACTGGCCTCCCCACCCAGTGCCACCCCTGGCTCAGACCTCTCTCGTTCAGCTGGAACGTCAGAGGTGAACTGCTCCTCTTGTAGTACCACATCACGGGCCTTCTCGAGCTTGTGCGTGTTAGACGGCTTAATAGGCATCTTGACTCTGCCCACCACGTCCCCCTGATGTAGGCAAGGGACAGTCCTGGAATCGCACCCCCCACCTCACAGTGGTTAGGGGGAGAAGTCCAGCTCCACGGCCAGCCGTGGGGGTCGGACTGGTGCGACCAACGTCCCTTCTCCCTTCCGAGCAGGCAGCCACACAGGTGTGTTAAACAGCTTTAATCTCGGTCATCGCGGCTTCTCAGCACAGTAAGAAATATTGCACATGATCAACATGTTTTGTTCTGGGGATGGGGACAGGGTGGGGGAATCACCTTCTTAGAAAGTACAACCCAAGCTGGGAGGGCAGAGGGGGTGGGGAGAGAGAACCCTCCCCGTGCCTGTGGCAAAGTGCAGGAGCCCCCACCCCCAAACTAACCTGAGTCCAGCCCCTCTGGGGAAAAAAGGGGTACATGAACTCCCCCTACTCCACAGGCGCCTCCCTGTGGCCCGAGGCCCACACTACCCTCCAGCTTGCAGCCCTCACACGAGCCATTTTGCATAAAGTACAAGTGAAAAGGTCTGAAGGTAACACACTCCAGGTTATGTACAGGGGCTCGGTGAAGGGAGACTGTGCCCCCTGCTTCCCCTCAGCTGCCCCCCATCACAGGGAGGGAGCTGTGGGGGGAGGGGGACAGACAAGAGGAGCAGGCCTCATTCCGTCCCAAACTGGAAAGGACGCAATGGCTTTGCTGGGGAGGAGGTAACCATCCTGCCCCCCCATTCCTGCCACCTACATACTGTCCGTGTCCTGAGGGGAGTACTGTGGGTCTGGGGTCTTCTCAGGAGCCCCTCACCTGCCTGTGGCAGCTGTGGAGGGACCAGAGGGGGGGGGTGAGGGTTGGGGGGGGCCCCTCCCAGCCAGGCTGTCCGGGCCCCGGCTCTGGGGGCGGAGGCAATGGCGGGGCAGCCGGGGCCGTGCCAGAGTCCGAGCCAGGTGAGGTGGGGTCAGGGCCCCCAGCAGGGCTGGGAGTGGGGACAGGGGCAGCAGCAGTGACAGTGGGGGGCGGTCCAGGGAGGGGGGCCTCGGCTCCCGGGGGCTGCTCCGTGGGAGTGGCCGCCTGCATGATCTTCTGGCGCACCTCACGGATCTTCAGCTGCAGACAGACCTTAGAGGGGAAGATGTCTGCGTAGCGGGCCTGGAAGGCTGCCGTGGCCTGGGCTGTGGATAGAAGGGTGGTGGGGAGGGCAGGGTGAGATGAGTGGGTAGGCCCCCTCCAAGTGCCCCCCAAGACTCCGCACCTGCTTACCTGATGGGAAGAAGCCATGGTCCTGGAAGAGCTGCATGACGAGGGCCCGGCGCTGGTCCAGGGTGCGCCGCAGCGACGAGTATGGCACCTTCTCGTATTCCAGCTCCCCGAGCACATCCTCAGCTTCTGTACCTGGGAGCAGCGCAGGGAGCACAGTCGAGCCTCCGCAGCAGCCTGGCCCTCCACCACTGTCCGAGGGGCCACTCCGCCCTCACTGAATTCTATTTCACAGTGGGGTTTAGAGATGGAACCCACCCAAGGTCACGTACCAACTTAGGGGCCTGTTGAATATCAGAACCCACCCTTGACCTGCTGTCCTTCCTCTCAGCAACACCCACCCCACCTCTCCCATCTTTAACCCCGTTCCTGGGACCCCCACCCCTCTTGGAGGCCCTAGCACCCCCGTAGCTCTGCCTGCCACCACACCGGCACCTGTACGGTCAAAAGTGAAGATGTCCCCCTCGCACTTGGCACTCTTGGGGGTGTTGGGCTCCGAGCTGCAACTGGAGCGTCTCCTCATCTTACGCTTGGGCGAGGTGGGGTCCTCAGGGGCTGAGTCCAGGTCTGGTCAAACAGAAGCAGGCTCAGTGGAGATGGCCCCAGTCTGTCCCACCTACCCTGGGTGCCTTGCGCTCGCCTACCAGTGGAGTTCTTCCTCTTCTTGCGGTAGGAGCCCAGGATGGCCCGGGGTGAGGTGGCCAGAGACTGCAGGGTGGGCGAGGGCAACACCTCCTCAGGCCGAAACTCGGGCAGCTCAGCAAAGCGCTCTTCGAAGTCCACCTCCGACAGGACCCTGCTGGAGAGCGGGCAGGGTCACCTCCTCTGCCCCAGCCTGCAGCTGCCCCCTCTGCCACCAACCCACACACTCCAAGTCCCCCAGCCCATGCTCACTTGTCCACAGAGTCAAAGGTCTTCTTCAGGGGCGGGGGCCGCACCTTGACCTTCTTGCCGGCACTAGCCGCCTCCTTGCGCTCGGGGGTGTCCCCAGCTGCCCTCCCACTGCTGCCCTCACTGCTGCTGCCGCTGCTACCAGGGGCTGGGGCTGGAGCCGGGGCCGGGCTGGGAGGGGTGGGAGGCTCCCCTCGGCTCTCCAGGCCCAGCCCGGGGACACGCCAGTCTGAAGATGAGCTGGGGAATTTGCTGGCCTGGGGTGAGGATGGCAGGGAGATGGAGGACACTGGGTTCAGACTCACCTGGGCAAGACCCAGAAATACAAAAGATGAATGCTGACGGCCAAGACACAGAGCCATGGGGAAGACCCAGTCATGCAGACAGATAGGCAGGAGGACAGAGGAGGACCCACAAGGGCACAGTTCGGACAGGGATGGAAGAGGGGTGGAACAGAAGGGCAGGCAGGGGACTGAGGGGCCAAGCCCAGCAGCAGGGAACCCCCAGGCCTGCTGGACACTCACCACGGTCTCAGGGCCCTTGGCACTGGTCCGCTCCTCAGCAGGTGGGGGCGGCGGGGGACTGCTCCGGGCTGGGGGAGCCCAGGTCTCTGGGGGCACTGGAGGGGCTGGTGTTGTTGGCCGCCCCTCAAGCTCTGACTCGGATGCAGGGGGCTCACGAGCTGGGCCGGGCTCCAACGGCTGTCGGGACGCAGGGCCTGGCCGCCCAGGGGCACCTGCCTCAAAGGAGCCCACAGGAATGCTGGCGATGGCCGCCTTCACTTTCTGGGGGGCCTTGGGGGTGGGCCGCTGGGCCTTGGGGGCCACTAAACTGTAGGTCATGGAGCCTGCTGGTAAAGAGAGTATTTGCTGAGCCAGGCCTGACTAGAGCCCATCCCTTGGGTCTCCCCACTCACCCCACCCTCGGTTGGCCCGGCACCCACCTGTGGCACTAGGAAAAGGGCTGGTGGGGGCCGGGGTGGCAGTGGCGGGGGCCGGTGGGCCCTTGGGCAGGATGGTGGCAGCAGGTGGGGTGGTGTTGGTGGCCACGGTGTAGACCAGGCCTGGGGGAGCCTGGGATGGCTGGGCCAGGGGTGCTGAGGAGGTGGGTACGGGGCTGCCAGGGTAAAACGCTGTGATGACGGGACCACTGGGGGCTGCGCAGGTGGGAGGCAGCTGGGGGCTGGGCACGGGTGACACGCCCACCTGGCCAGGAGCCAGCAATGGGGCTTGGCCTGCAGAGAGAAAGACAGAGGAGAGGCAGGGGACCGAGTTAGGGCCAGAGCTGCCTCAGCCCCACCCTTGGTCCCCAGCTACCTGCCAGGCCACCCCTCACCTGAAAGCAGGGGCTGCACGAAGGCGGGGCCGCTGGGCCCCAGCGAGGTGAAGCCTAGGGCTACTGAGCTCGTGGGTCCATACGAGGTGACTGTTCCAGCCTGACTGGATGCAGGACTGGTACCCAGGGGCAGCGCATGCCCGCCTGCTGACTGCACGTAGGTGATCCTGCCGCAGGGAGAGGAAAGAGGAAGGTGTAGGTGAGCTGGCCCCACCTAACCCCTTCCCTGCACTCACCTCCAGATGAGGGCTCAACTGCCATTACCTGGTGGAGGAGGGCAGCAGAACCTTCTGAGGCTGAGAGGCGGGTCCGGGGAGCGTGGCCGGGCTGAGGGGCGGCACCAGGCCGCTGGGTGTGCTCACAGGCACCGGAGTTAGCTGGATGATCTGTGGGCAAGGGCACCACAGGCTGAAGTGAGCTGGGGACCCAGAGTGAGGCAGGGGAGGACCAAGACCTCGGAGGCTGGACCTCAGCAGAGACACGGGACAGAGAAATTGGGATGGGGACGGGAAGGGAGAAACGAAAGCAAAGAAGACAGCGACAGATAGGAGACACAGAGAAGGGACAAGGTACAAACACGGAGGGCAGAATCAAGATATGCACAGAGGTCGAGCAAGACAGGGGCCAAGAGACAAAAAGGGAGAAAAGGAGAAGACTGAACGACAGACAGACACAGAAACCGCGGGACATAGAGGCTAACACCCAGGAAGAGAAGAAACAGAAACAGGCGGGCCACCACCGAGGTGCCCTTACCTTGCTGGGTGGCTGAGCACCGTTCTGCACAGGTACTGAGAAGGGTGGGCTCACCAGGGGCAGCGGCTGGCCGGCCCCTC